CTGCTCCGAAGCGGGCAGCCTGCCACAAAGAGAAAAAACCCAGCCCCCTAGCTGTGTCAGATCTCCAGAAGCATGGTTAGAGGCAACCCTCTCACCACCCCCTCCTTCCACCCTCCCACCCCCCCAAAGACCGCTCTGTCCCGGGAGCTGCCTCAACCGCTGCAGGTTTTGCTGGTATTGCTGGTGCAGCAGCCAGACTTTGTTTCCTTAGCCCCTCGAGAGACAGAGGGGTTTGGCAGCTGCAGTATCCTCACGTGTATAACTGGAGGTTGTCCATGGCAGAGCAGTCCCGAATTGGGCCAGGGATACAAATGCAAGCCCGTGCTCTACAGTGTGTGAGGTTCTGTGGTTTTGACACAGAACCAAGGTGCTGACACCAGATACCTACAATATCATCACAGCATGTAAGTCGTGTTTACCTACAACATTACCTCAAAAGAATGAAAAGCTAAACCCACCCCATCGAAGTTTGACTTGCTCATGCAAGAAGTCTAGGGATTTCAGTCTGCTAAAAATCCCTTTTAACAAGTGCAGAGCGGATCGGTTGGGATTGTATACTCCCATGCTGCCTAAGGGAAGTATACTCTGAAACATGAGTATAAAACTGTTACGTTTAAAAGACTAGTTCCTGCTGTAATGCTTTTAAGAAGCTTCGCTGTTTCTGTTTACTATTGCCTCTTTTAGTTTTTAGATTTATGAAAACATAGTGACCACTTCTGGGACAAATAATCAAAACTGCAGTTGTAGACTGGTAGCAAAATACCCTGATACCGGCGTAAGCTGGTTACTCAAACCTGACGAAACATGGCACTAACTGGGTCATTGTTAAAATAAGATGCCTTTTTAAAAGGAAATGTGTGGAAAATGAAATGTGTACCTGGAACAAGGAAAAAAAGCCACTGTGAAGTTAACAAAATCATCTATAAAACTGATAAATACACTTTTGTACTAGAAAACATACTGTCATGCATTATCTATCAGACGTATATTGTATTTATTGTGGACCCAATATTACATTTCTTGTACAGCATTTATTTTAAAAATACCTTCTGGATGCATGCATTTTGTATTTTCCTTGTTTTTTTATTCTTCAGATTATTATCCTGCTCTGCTCTGACTAAAGTTAGAGAGGTATAAGGAGAAAACGACGCCACTTTGGGCAGGGTAATTTTAGCATTATTCTGTGTTGGCATAGGTTGGGAATCCCAGTACTCATAATAGATTCCAAAGAGTGTCATTGCCAGATAAAAGAAATAGTCAACATTGGAAAAGAAAATACACTAAGAAGGTATGTGCTGAGCCACGATGGCCTGTTGTTTCAACATCTGTGTGCTAAGTGACATGACATTTTGAACATACACAATTAAGGTTTAAAAATGGCTTTTCTAAAGTTTTAAGAAGTGCAGTGGGCAGGTAGACTGTATATGGAGGATCAGTGAAGAGAACTGTGCTAGTTTCTCCTATGGAGAAGTGCGTAAGATAAACTGAACGTCTCAGATGTTTGGCTGTGCTGGGAGGTGTTGCTATAAAAAGTGTGAGTAATCATTCAGGAGAAACTGTGACCAACGCGCTCACTCAGGCACACAAGATCATGACATAATGAAAGACTCACGTTTAACTACTCACATTAAGTACTCTTATGAAGCGAGAAAATGCAATTGCTAATTTAGCTGCATTGCTGTAAACTGACTCGTACTTTTAGTCATTTTAAGCAGCAGTATGATACTTGGAAATGAGGCTGCGATCATGAACTCTCATGTGCTGGGGCCGAATCCCAAGCCTGCACAGAGGCGTGAAAGCTTAGTCAGCCTGCTGGCCAGCAGCATGGGTCTTGCTAATAGGTAGATGGGTGCTTGGCTAATTAAATCGATGACGGTTGGTTGTGGACACTGAGAACATGTTCACATGAATACAAGTATGAACTTGCTCCCGACACGTGCTGATATGGCCGGGTATGAACCTGCTGTAGTCTGGAAACTGTTGCTAAGTCGGTGGTGTTAGAGTTAGTACACTCTGTGGAGGAGCTGAGTTAACCGAAATAGTTTGCTAGCGTGGTTGTGTGACCTCTGGACTGGACCTGGCTAGTGTCTGGCTAGTTCCAAGTTCAGAATGAGCTAACTTGTTTCTATGTATAGTGTGTACAGGTAACTTAAGATCAGTTTAAACTCACACAGTTTTGCAAAGGACAGTTTACAGAAAGAAGCATTCACACCAATATTTGCACCACGATAACTAAATTATTTTAAAATCACGTTTTTGTTTAAAAGATAGAATGGAGAGCATACCAAAATACAGGAGCAGCCTTAGCAGGTTTCAAATCTATCACAGAAAGCATTAAATGGAATGAATCCCTGCCAACATAGTTGTAGCATTCTGCAAAGCAGCAAACCTGGGTTGTTTGAAGGGACTCAGTGACGTAATTCATTACTGCAATGCATGGCTTCATGCTGCAAAGTGTGGCTCAGCTGTTTGTCCTGAGGTTTCTTCATTGCAGTGAAAATGCTTATGACCAAATGTTTTCAAATGCAGCTGCCTAAAATCATATTCCTGTATTCCTATTTAAACAAAAGCACACACACAGCCTGACTTTTAGAGACACGGAGCATTGGTTGCTCCGTTTCTTCAGTGCTCATTATTTCTGAAAATCAGTCCTTTTTGGGGTTGTGTCAAGTGTAGAATTAGGAGTTTTATTGTAGGTGCCTAAATACAAAAGCTTTGGTCTTGAGTATTTTTTTAATTTGCTCCTTTTGCTCTTTGACATGGAGTGTAGAATTTTTTTTCATCCTTCTGAAAATGTCACTAGACCAGCAATCCAAAAGCTTACTGCTTGTAATCAAAAGCGAAGATTGTTTTGAAAAGCTGTACCAGGAAATGGGAGAACAAAGCTAGTGGGGACTAAATTATTCTGGATAGCAAGACCCACATGTTCAGCAACCTAGTGAAATCTGCATGCTGTTTTTCTGTGTGATTTGCAAACAGCAAATAGCACTGCATCCTTTGCTTCTGTATACTTGGGAATTTTTCATGGGTTAACACCCAAACCAGAAATTTAAAACAAAATTTTGGAGGGCCTGCTCCAACAATGTAGTTTAGTGGGCATCTCACACATGAGGGGAAGGAGGGCAGCAAGAATAAGCTGCCAGATATTAAGTTTGCAAAATGTGGCTTAGATTGCAAGAGTAGGCTGCAAGCGACTTATTTATCAGTGTGTGGTTCATTTCAAATGTATGCACAAACTGGTTTTGCCCAGGGATGCTCTAGCTGATTGCATGACTGTAGCCTTACTTTAATCTGCTGTGCAGGCTATACATTTGAATGGAAAGACATCTCTCTAACACTGAAGATTTGTTACTCATCTCTCTGGATCCTCCTAGCATTCGTTCTAGAGGTGTCTTTACTCTTGGCTTATAAAATATACATTGGATGAACACATCTTTCTGAGTGCAGCAAATGCACGTATCTTCAAAAATGCTCTTGGGGAAGATACTTTTAAGTGTCCTACTGAAGTATTATTGTCTTCTGTGTTCAACTAATGTGGTTCAAATGCTGGATTAACTATGATAAAAAAAGGGCATGAGATAGCATCAGAGTATGTGTTCAGCTAGGCTGTTTTAATTTCATTAGGACTCCATAGCAAATACTACTATTTACAGGTAAAATTTTAAAAAGACATGAGAAATGCACATAAGCAAGGGTAATAGTCCCTTGAATAAAGTTAGTGCAAAGCTTGGGCATAAGCGCAGACATTTTACAAACTTGCAGCTAATCTGTTGCTCACCCTACACCTCTGGAAAAAGAAGATTTGCAGAAACCGTTTTATCTGAAGATTTAGTTTTTAACTACTGTGAGCATAGTATTTTCTTTCAGGCACAGTTTTGATAAGCAATATGTATCAGCAGGTAACTTGTGCATTAAATCTTTGTGTTAGCAATAGTTGTCCTCTGTCAAGTGCTGTCCAAGTACTGCATGGTGCCATTTCTGCTGGCAGGTGACTCCTATAAAATTTTGGTTCTGATGAATGTGGCTATTGCAGCTGGATTTTCTCTTCTGCCAGCCATTTGCATTCATACAGAAAGGCTGTTTTGTCTTACTAGCTGCCACTTTGATTTGTAAAGAACCATTACGGGGGGTCTGCAACTGTGAGGCTAATATAGGGGCTGGATAACAGTGCAGTTTCTGCCCTGTTATACAACAAGGGCGTGCACTTTACACAGAAGGTTACAGTGGTCTTGGTCATACTTGGATATTAAAATATATTAGAAGAAGCAAAGCTTATGTATCTCAAGCGATATTTCTGCAGTTCTGTAAAGTAGTGTGTATTTTTTGTAGCTTGTTCTGCATTTGTATAACATATGTTGTGTGTTTTCTGACACTTCATCGTAACTTAGTTTTCAGAGCAAGCCGGGTAACAACCGTGTTGGGTATCCTATGGTTCTAACAGGTTATGGCATTCATTGATGAAATATCTAGGCATGAGGTCACATTCAGTTTGCTGCTTTGTTAGAGTAACTGCTGAAAATTAATCACTTGAGGATGAACTTCCAAAACTCATATTCCAAGAATACGATCCATTCATCACTACTGTTAGTTCAGCTTGACTCCAAGCTGTAAATATGTGAAACTGGGCTTGCTGAAAATTGTATAAATGTCCTGACTGCTATCGCTTGAGATATCAAGGAGTGCATGGATACAGGTAAGTGTCTAAACTATTTAGCTTCCAGTCTGAAGTTGGCAACAGCAAAACCATTAAACTGGAAATCATGAAACATCACTTGCAAGTTTTATTTTGGTAATCTGTTACATCAGGAGGATTTTCTTATGGTGTACATTATAAAATATCATATATAAAATATTGGCAGAGTTGATTTATGAGAGAAAAGCGTGCAAGGCAGTTTCAAATTAGATCATAAAAAAGTAGGGTAAGGGAAAAGAATCTGGTTTTTGTTCCCTTTACTACATTTCATTTTATTACACACTGATCTTCTGCCTGGATCCAGCTGACCCTGCCTAATGTGATTCAGGTGTTTGCGCTGCGCTCCCCTGGGCTCCTGGTTGTGCGGGGGCCTGAAGCTGGCCCTTCATGGGGCCAGGGTGTGCCTGGTGCAACTGGTTCACTTGGACTTTGAGCCTCACTTCTGATGTGTTCATGTCTCATCCGTTTCCTGCTTAACAGGAGAAGGTCTTAGCTTTTCAGTATCCCCTGAAAATCATTGCAAGGAGGAGCTTCCATCTACCTGCTTGACAGTGCCTTCTGTTTAGTGCTGCCAGGGCTTTTGAAGTCCTGCTGCTGTCCTGTTTTCCGAACTGGAAATTGCTTCATTTTGATGCTCTGTAGCAGGGCTTTTTACGTTGTCTTAGCAGGTGATTTGCTGCTTTCATACAGCATTGAGGTTGGGAGCAGAGAACAAATAGGCAGGGAGCTTGAGTGATTCAGAATTTTTCCTCAAATTGCAGGGAGCAGGAAAATGCATGGCTTTCATGTTCGGTGGGATGTAAAAATAGCTGTAGTTGACTCCACCCCTCTATGACTTGCTTCCAGGAACATGTTGAGCTAATGAATGTGAAGTATATTTAATACATGTGCAGTCTATTTCCTACCATCTTTCAAATTCTCTCAGTGCCCTTAAGAGTTTTAAAATTGTCTTTTTTCATCCAGTTTTCTGAAATAATGTGAGCTGATTTAATGTGGGATGAAATTCTGTTTCAGATAAATCCAACCAATTTGACTTCTGTAGGTACATCTTCCAGTACTCTAAACAGTTGCATTTAATAATGAAAAAGTCAATAATCTCACAAGTGTGTTGGGGAAGTAATTTTTCTTCCTTACAGGACTTTCTTGTGGTCATGCATTTTTTCTGAACCTTGAGAATTGCCATAAAAGCATTGCTTGAACATTGCCACATGACTGATTTTACAACAAGCAACATTTGTCATGCTTAAAATGACTAACCAGTATTAGCATTTAACAGCTTTTCTGTGTGATATATAAGCTGTTTTACTAGTTATGTAGCAATATCATTAAGCTGTTAAGTTTATATAAAGGTACACAGAAGAACTAGGAGCTTCCCATCTAAAAAGATGGATGCCTGTGAGGAAGAGACAGTATTCAGACGAGTCAGAAGGGGCTAATTAGCACCTTCTATGACACATATTTTAGCAGTCAGTACGTTTCTTGAAGTTTGAAGGCTTTAGACTAATACAGAAGAAGAAAGCCTCTTCAGGAAAAAGCATCTGCACTATGCTGTGAGGAGATTTAAACAAGCAGCTCTGTTTGTGAAGTGCTGTAAGAGCCCATCTGATGATGTAATTTCTGCCTCTGATGAAACATTCCTACATTTCTCTCTGCTGCTAGACAACCAATTTTGTGTTCTCCATACGTCAGGTCTTTCTTCACTAACATCTCAGTATCCATGCTTTTGTGGAGAAACAGTGCAGGTTTCTTTTATGCAGGGTCTTGAATTTTGATGAGACACCAATGTCAATTGTTTGACCACTAACCAAATTGGTTTTGGCTTTACAGTCTGTTGTTGATAGTGCATTCACAACTTGCATCTTATGCCTTTTGTTGAATATTTCACACATACAGTGGCAACGGCTGAAATTTAACATGCACGTTTTCCAAAGCATAGCCTAAAATAAGATCGTATGTAATGTTAAAGCAAGACAGTTGTTAAAAATGTGCTTTTAAGGACACGTTGTGGGTTTTCATGGTCTCTGACATTTGTTTCTTGCTTTTTGTTGTCTCAGTACGGTAATCTTAACAGAGGTACTTTCATGAGCCTAAAGTTTGCATTTTAATATGCATTTATTAGCCTTAAATTTTGCATACTAATAAAAGTCTGAAATATATTCCCCAAGAGTTTTGCATATAAATGGTATGTATATCTTAAAATTCAGTAATTGTTCTCGTAAGCTCATGATAACTTTTAGAGAATACACTGTATTACTGATGCAGAGGTCACAGTTTTACTGAGTTAACAAGATGTTTCCTTCTTGACTTACTCCCTTGTTGTAAGAAATTTGATTGATCGAGCATATCCTGGAGAGGCATGGCAACAACTTTCCCTCTGTATGGGCTCAAAGAATGACGTTTATATTGCTGTGGGATTCCAGAAGAGATTATGCTGCTGAGGACAGTCACTGAGATGTTATGATTTTGCTCTCCTGTGTAAATATGTTTGCGTTTGTACTACAGAGCCTGACCCTATTAGTTGTAAACCAAATATGAGATATGAAACAATGTTTTTCAGGAGATTTCAAATGCAGAAGTGTCATTAGTATTTATACTGACTTCTGAAATGGGGAAAAAATTGAACTTCAGCAAGAAGAAAAAAAAAAAGCTGGGCAGATTTTCTTCAGTGTGAATCTGGATATTCAGGGCAGATAGCTAGCTGTGCTAACTTGTATCAAAGGGAACCTTAATGCAGCGATGCTCTCTTAGCTGGTTTTGGGTCATGTAGTCCAGAAGAGATTGGTCTTTGGTTTGGGAAAGCAGTTCAGCTGTGCAGCTGCTGAAGAGGATGGAACTGAGCTGTCAGTTACTGAGCTGGATACCTGCATTCTGAACTGTCTGCCATGGGGCTGTAACACCGTACCCTTCTGCTGCCTTCGTATGAGGTACAAAGCAGAGGGTTGTCAGGTCCACGTAACTGATTCCTTCAGCCTAGGTGAGGAACATTGTGACCCACCGTAAGGTAATAAATACAGCATGAAGCCAAAAAGGTCAAGGACATAGCTGAGAGCAAGTGTGCCTTTATTCTTGCTGGGTAGTGTGACTAAAGGGAAAAGAACACATTTGGTATAAATGCAGCATTATTCTCAAAAGCAGTTGTTTAATTTTATTACAACAAACCATATTATGTTGCTTCTCCTTCTTCTCTTCTTTCCTTCTTCCAAATAGAACAATTTCATTTAGCCTTACCACATCAAGACTGGTTGACAAGAAACAACTGGTGTATTTGCAATTATTTTAAACTACAGAGATTCGTTCACTGCTGTCCTTAGAGCCTTAAAATGCTGTTTCTTTGCCTCTTAAAATCCTGTTAGTCTTACTTTCTCCATCATTATGAGGGTGGTCATGTTTCTGTTCCCCTCATTAAGTCACAAGCTGTCTTGATTTTTTTTTTAATTTCCAGCCTAGTCACTTCTTATGTAAAAAAAAAAGTCCTGCTCCCTCTAGTTTGAGTATGAGTGATTATAGCAAACAGGTTTTGGCCTATGTAAGTAAAGTTGAATTTTACAAAAGCTTTGCTTTCACATATTATTTCAAAGGTGAAAAGGAATATCAGGATTAACTAAATAAGGTGGATTTTGCATTTGCAGAGTCTCTGAAATACATACGCATCTACTGGATATAATGACGCATTTCATGCAGTAACACTATTACTAAATAAGTCTTGTAATTTTCTTTTTGTTGGTTTGTTATTAGGATCCATTCTATAGATTTAATGATGTGATGTACAGATGGATCTCACTAGATAACTGGACTTACAGCAGGACATTCAAAACTCCTTTTGACATCAGGTATGCAGTAAAGATACATCTGAAATAGTTCTGTTGCTAGTTGATCCATCAGCTCAAAATCTGCTTCGTATTTTTGTATCTAATAAAACAAATTATGCAATAATGTCCTGACTGCTGCAAAGCTGTTGCTAAAGAACACTTCAGTAGTTGCTTTTTCCTGTTTTTTTAATTGTTAAAAGTTACTTATGAATTGCCAACCAAGGAAGGATAATACTTAGGCTAATTGGAAGCTAGCCCATCTGATACCTGGCGGGTATATGCACATGCTGTGTTGCAGACTTGAGCCACTTCAGCTGTCATCTTAATTTGACTATTTAAAGATATAATGTAGCCACACTAAGTCAAACATTTCTGGAGGTAGTTGAGACAACTGCTGCTAAAATAATGGTGACATACATTTTTGTATTGCCTGTCTCCTGTGTGTTGTTAACTCTAGGTATTCTAACTGTTTTTTATGTGTATTATCTTCTGTAGAAAGTGGCAGAAAGTGAATTTGGTTTTTGAGGGAGTAGATACAGTAGCACAGATCCTGATCAACAATATCAGTCTTGGGAGAACAGACAACATGTTCAACAGATATGTAAGTAACGTGCTTATTTTTGAAAGTGCTTCTGTTTTTTTCTTCAAAGCCGTTTTGTGCTGAGCTCTTTCAGTGCATTGAAGTACACATAAAAATAGGTCCTTCGATGTAGAAAGTGTTGACCTGAGGACTGCATGTGTAATCAGATAACTGTTAGAAAGAGAAGCGTACTTATCTTTTCAGTAGCAGCAGGGTCAGATCTAGAGGTGAATGTGTCTTGTTCTAAATGAGTGGACCTATGCAAGAGGATCAGTTCAGCTAATAATATAAGTCTTGCTTCTTGGGATCTGTCAGAGCTCCAAGAAAACGTAAGCTTAAATCTGTTATATTAGCTGTAAATCTGCTTACTAATTGGTATTAGAATGGTTTACATGTGAATACTGAAATGAAAATGCACGTGTTGCAAAGCCTTTGTAAGTGCTTCTATGCTTTTTTTTATATAGGATTTTTGATTTTTAATATTGGGCTTTTAATAACATTGTTTTGCAGTTTTGAGGTTAGCCTGTGTCAGCATGTGAGTACTCAACATGGAATGATCTTGAGAGTGGCAAAAACTTTCAAACTAATTTTATAGCTTTAAAATATAAAATTATTCTGGGTACTAGCATAAGGGACAATCCTTGCTTTTCTCTTAAAAGAATCAAAAAAAGAAAAGTTAAAGAAAGAATGTTAGTGGAATAACTGAGTTACAAAGGATATCTGCTGTCTTCATATCTCAGAGTTTACCATTCTGACAGGTTTTGTCGCCAAGGTACTGGCCTGAGACATGAGAGCTAGGTTCTGCCACCTGTGTCTGTGTGACCTGGGAGAAATCACTTAGTTTCTCTGTGACTTAGTTTTACCATCTGTGAAATAAGAAATTCCATAGAGCATTTATGAAATTGTAGTTGTTTACTATTAGGAGAGTATCTAAAGGATTGCCAGTAGCAGGCTCTGTAGAGTTGGGAAGTGGTATTATTTTGCCCTTATTTCTGCAACCATTCTGTCTCAGATTGTAACAATACATGAAATGGCCTTCACTGTGAAACCAGAGTGAACTGTATTAGACTGAGTCTAGGATTACTGTGACCCAGACTTCTGCTTTGTTCACCTGTTCCACATGACAACTATGTCTGCAGGAAAGACTCTGTGAAGGCTCTGTTTGGGGGATGCTGTTTGCTGTGTAGTTTTCTGCTGTATACTACAGACATAAGTGATGCTAGCTGGGCTGCTCACAAGTTGGAAAAAATTGCCAAGACTTGCCTTGTCACGAATGAACACTGTAAATAAGGAATGGGTATTAGCCATGTGAACCACATTTCGGGGATGAGAGTGCAGGTGGCATGAAGTAGAGCTTTGCAGCATTCACGCAAAAGGCAGCTCAGTGCTTTGTGGTAGGTAAGCTGGCAGCACAGTGTGAGCTGGAAGGACTTCTGTATAGACCAGTGTTCTGAGTTGGAACATGGCATCTTTCTGAAGGTGCAGATGAGTTCTGAGTGAGGAAGAAGGGTAAAGATTCTCTTGCCATCCTTATCCTTCAAGCACTTCTGTGTGCAAGCAGCATGCTGCAGCCTGAAATGGGGGCTCAGTATGGGTAAAGCGGTTCGCCCAGAAACATCTCCTTGTATCTGTATCTTCTTTTTTCAACTTAAGAAGTAGCTTGTCTTTTCCTTCAAAACCAGGGACTGTTGAGACTCTAGTTCAAATGCCTTTGAATAATATATGTATGGTATCAAAATCCCAATGTAACAGTGATTGTAAGTCTCATAAATAAATGTCAGTGCTGTAATGATTTTGTTCTGTTTTCTTGACCTAGAGCTTTGATATTACCAGCGTGATCAAGGAGGTCAATTTTGTCGAGGTCCGTTTCTTATCAGCCGTTTCATATGCAGCAGAGCAGAGCAGATGTCACAAAGCATACAGCATCCCCCCGGCGTGCCCTCCACCTGTGCAGAAAGGAGAGTGCCATGCTAATTTCATCAGAAAGGTAGGGGCAGAGTTGTCTGTCTCTGGCTTCAGGCTTGGAAAGAGGAAGGCGCTATGTGCTGTCCTTACAGATGTATTCTGAAACCTGCAATGTCATTTTATAAGTAGGGCATATTTTTCATTGCAGCTTCCTTCTCCTGTCCCCCCCGAAACCTGTAATCTAGCATATTGATAATACAAGAGGCATAGGAAGGCCAGGCTCCACATCTAGGTGATAAGAATGTTTAAAAGGCTGTTTTCATCGAGGAGTTGGCAAGGAGACTTGCTGCTAAGAGAGCAGGATAGCTTTGGGAAATGTGTAACCATTACATTTTGATCCACTGGGTGGGTTTAGCAATGTATGCTGACAATAGAGTTCACACTTGCAAATACCAGTGTAGATTGCCAAGGCTGTAAAAATCTCAGCCAAGCAGCTTTGTGAGTGTTTGCTATTGCTCATGTGCTGTGCTATTTATACTGGGCAGCTCTGGCATGTCCTGAGAAGTGTTATCTAACACAGGACCTGTTCTCGTCTTATTACGGTATTGCGAAGTGTGACTTACAAGTACATATTCAGTGAAAAAAACAATGTAATATACAATGAATGAAGCTCAGAAACTCTGATTTAGGGTGTAGCTTCATTGCTGTTAAAACTATCATTTGAGGAGCATCTCATGGATTTCTGGTAGCTTTGCAGCAGCTAGAGACAACAGCTAGGTGATCTTATTTTGGAATTTCTCTTTTGGGGTGTTTTTGCATGTTTGTCTCGCCTTAAATGCCTTTCTTGTTAATTATTTTTAATCTTTTCAATGAAGTCATTTTAGAGCCTTCTCAAAAAAATGACTGGAATCCTGTTAATCTAAACCCGGATGTGATTTCCTTTAATATTTGTTAATGGAAGGATGAACTCCATGTTGTCCTGGGAAGATCCTTCAGGATTAAGATGTTGTCTTTATTACTACTTGCTGCTACTTTTATTTTCATGACATTTTAGAAAGTTGATTAATTCTTCTGGGTCCACTGTGTTTCTTAAAAACCAGTGCAGGGAGGAGCTTGGGAGGAAGAAGGCACTTAAACAGCTGTAGTCTTATTTATAGAGCAAAAATGGCCAGGAATAGTTTTGTGCTTTAATGAACTATACCTTTAAATTTGTAAGAAAGTACCTTAGTGCTTTTCCTCAAAGGAGTTGCTTGACTGTACTTGGAAGCTGCTCCAGACATTCCCAGAAACATTTTTAGTTCCAAGTATATGGCAACAACAGCAGCCATGTCACATTTGAAAGTAAACAAACATACCAGGACATTGCTAAAGCTGGCTGCTTACCATCTTAAAGTAACGATGAGCTGTTTACACATTTGAGGTTCAGTATTAAGTACAGTAAATTTATCTAAATCTTAATAGGAATTTGTGCAAAATGCAAGCCTTTCACTATTCACGTACTTCAGTGATACAAGCGTATTGTTCTCATGACGTACTATTTCTGATAGTGGTCTCTGCAATATTATTAGTGAAACCTGACAGTCTGTCAGTGATTCATTTGTTTACTTTTTATAAAGGGAAAATTACTTCCAATCTGACTTGTTTTCTAAGAATGCGTTGTCCCTGCTTTTACACTTGAAATAGGTACAGTGCTTGCTTCCTGGAAGGCTCTTTTGCAACCTGATAGGCAGGCAGGCTGACTCCAGCAATGCAAGGGATAGGCCAGACTTGTGCAATGTGGTTTGCCAAAATTAGTATGCTTTGGCTGTAAGTTATTAGTCTCTAAATTTAGAACTGTAGGTCACTGTACAAGACTTTAAGGAGATCTATTGTATTTGCTTTGGGGGCTGGGGCTGTGTGAAGCTTGGAGGGCAGCTGAATAGATGTCTTCAAGGGATTTGTTAACTAGAGGTCTGACCAGGTTTGAAAACAGCTGAATGGAAAGCAGTGTAGGTACTTCTCTGCCTGACCAGTGTTTTATAATTCTGACAGTTATTCTGATGTTAGAACCAGAACTAAGCTATTTCTCAACCATGTTTTTGTTTCCTTTGTTTTTCTGTAAGAGAACCATAAAAAGGGGAGAAACAGTGAACATGACTGAACTACACAAATGCACCCGACATACACATCTCTTTCCTTGTGCTAATCTGCTGTGTTACCACAAAAAGTAGAGGATAAAGTAATTCAGATATACCCACGATTTTTTATTTGATATTGTTCTTTTAGAATACTGTAACATTTGTAACCATCAGTTTTCTGCTTACTTTGTCTTTTAGATATACAATAAAATACTGACATTAAGAACTAAAATAGTTCAGAGCTATTTATTGAAAGTAACCTGCTGGTTTGTTTTTTTGATCTTTACTAGTTTTTTGTAAGTGGTGGGCTAGGTGGTGTTTTGCTCTTTCTCACTAATAGAAAATTTTGCTTTACATGGATGTGTAATACAAAATTGTATTTTTTTATATAATATAGATAGCCTCAGCAGACTTCTGGTCAAGAAATAAGATAAAAAATACTGTAGGCTCTTCTGGGTTTATGGAAATTGGAAAAATTCTTTCAGTTCATGGCAATATTTTATTTCTAGATAGCAAATAATTTTTATTTCTGGCACAGCATCAATGTCTGTGTGAAAAATAGGCAATTGTAACATAATCATTCTGTATTCCAGGAGCAGTGTTCATTTAGCTGGGACTGGGGCCCTTCTTTTCCCACTCAAGGAATCTGGAAAGATGTTAGGATTGAGGCCTATAACTATTACCACCTGATTTACTTTTCTTTGACTTCTTTCTTTGGTAAGTTGTGTTACTACTTTTTATTGTTGTTTTGTCTTTGGAATACAAACCATTTTATTGTTAAGCTCTATTAACTGTCAGTTTAGGAAAGGTTCTACCGTTTTATCATGACTCTGTGTGTAGTTCTTACCACAGCACACCCTTTTAGGTTTTGAAACAGTATGTCACTACAAACAATGGTGTTCAAAAATGTTAGAATTCAGAATCTTCTTTGGCTTGAAGATTCCCGAATAACTGCAGAAATATATGTAGTATAGCTGAGGTTAGCCCCTGTTTTCCTGTTTTGAAAAATTTCTTTTTTATTGGCATGTTTTCACCAAGACTCCCAATAAATACATCTCAGTTTTGTCTCACCTCCATTTAAAACGAAGGCAAAGCTGCTACGGGAGTTTAGTTGTATATTGGGAAGACAAATGCACAGTGAGCAGAGTTTCAAAAGCGCTGAGTTTTCAGGACACAACATAAAGTCTGAGAGAGAAGAACAGTCATGCTATAACCGGTTTCCTGCCTTGACGTGGTCTTTGATTTTCCTCTCCTCATTGCAGCTGAGCAAAAGTAGTTAATTTTCTGTTGAAACTTCCTGTAAATGGTAATATGCCCCATTGTAGACCACCCGCATGCTTTCTTTCACTGCCTGTTGAGCCCAGTCCTCAGTGGAGTAAAGGCTAGCACGTGAGTCCTCTGCATTGGGTTGAATTTCAGCCCTTGGGAATAGAGTTGTTGTGTATGAATAAAAGAGGAAGACGTCACTCCCTGGCTGCTTTTAAAGCTTCCTGAAATAGCTGCAGGTCTTAGCTAGAATTAACGTGACTAGAATTTCCATGGAAAGCCCCAGCACAGACTCCATGTGCTCTCTAAAATTTAGTTACAGTAAAAATCTTTTCTGGTCCCTCCCATATTCCCACAACTCCACCTTCTGGTAGGTAAAGTCTTGCTCTCTGGATAAGCAGAGAGAGCAAACCTCTTTCGTTCAGCAGAGAGTGGGTTGGAGCCAGAGCCAGAGCTTATTAGTATTCAAGCATAGTAACATTTGAAAAATAAAGAGTAAATGAACAACTTGAAGCTGCCTATGCAATTATATTGCTCATCAGATTTGGTGTCATAGCCTTTTGACCACTGAGTCCGCAAAAGATTCATTGTTCTTGATTTTTGTGCCTAAACCCCACAGTTCACGCAGTTAAGAGTGGGCTGGAGTTTCTGTATGCCCTTGGAGGGGAGGGAAAAGGCACTGTAATGGCTGACCCTTGTGGGGTGGGGTGGGTGTCTTCTTCACCCTTCAGCATTTCTGAAAATAGGTCTTCCCTGGGTAATGCTGGGTGTAATAGAAACTTGGGAACACATTCATTGCTCTTCATTCTACAGAAGACATTGAAAATCACACCAGGGCTGAATGTAATTCTTTGCTTTT